GTTTGGTCAACATGTCAGCTGGATTGTCTGCAGTACCAATCTTCTTCATCGTGATGTTTCTTTCAGCAGTTGCCTCACGAATGAAATGATATCTGACATCAATATGCTTTGTCCTCTCATGATGTGCTGAGTTTTTGCTTAGATGTATTGCGCTCTGATTGTCGCAAAATACAACTGAACTAGCCTCCGCTGTAGTCCAAGCTCACTCACGAGATTTTTCAACCAAATGGCCTCTTTTACCACTTCTACTGCTGCCATGTATTCTACCTCTGTAGTAGACAAAGCAACTGTCGACTGTAGAGTTGATCTCCAACTAATAGCTGAGCCAGAAAGAGTAAAAAGATAACTAGTCAAAGATCTCCTTTTATCGAGATCACCTGCATAGTCAGAATCTACAAAACCTACAACTGAGGTTCCCAAAGTACTGCTATCAAAAACTAAATCCAAATCTGAGGTACCCCTGAGATACCGAAGGATCCACTTCACTGCCTCCCAGTGTGCCTTCCCTGGTTGAGCCATGTATCTGCTCACTACACTGACTGCCTGGGCAATGTCTGGACGAGTGCAAATCATAGCATACATTATGCTACCCACTGCATTGGAGTATGGAACTCGGGACATCTCCTTCTTCTCGTTCTCACTTGTAGGTGAATCTGAAGCCGAGAGCCTAAAGTGAGGAGCCAAAGGAGTCGTAACGGGCTTGGCCTTCTTCATCCCAAAGCGTTCAAGTACCTTTTCAATATAGCTCTTCTGTGAGAGATATAATGTTCCAGCTTTCCTGTCCCTCCTGATCTCCATACCTAAGATCTTCTTTGCTGCACCAAGATCTTTCATATCAAACTCATCACTGAGTTGTTTTTTCAAAATAAGAATCAGCGACATGTTCTTAGCAGCAATAAGCATGTCATCGACATATAATAGAAGATAAATAAAAGAATCATCTCCTAGATGCATGTAGTACACACAACTATCATAAGTACTTCTTGAGTACCCATGACTAAGCATAAAATTATCAAACCTCTTGTACCACTGTCTGGGAGATTGCTTCAGGCCGTACAAAGATTTCTTCAATCTGCAAACTTGATCTTCTTTACCTTCTACGAAGTATCCCTCTGGCTGAGACATGTAGATAGTCTCCTCAAGTTCGCCATGTAAAAATGCAGTCTTCACATCAAGCTGCTCAAGCTCCAGATCAAATAGAGCAACCATAGCAAGCAATACACGGATGGAGGTATGCTTCACAACCGGAGAGAACACTTCATCATAGTCAATTCCCTCATTTTGTCTATAACCCTTAGCCACCAACTGTGCTTTGAATCTAGCATCTTCAACCCCTGGGATCCCTTCTTTCTTCTTGAAAATCCACTTGCATCCAATTGCCCTTTTACCCTTAGGTAATTGCACCAAATCCCAAGTCTGATTCTTGTAGAGTGACTCGAGTTCTTCTGTCATAGCTGTGGCCCAATGTTCAGATTCTCTGCATGAGACAGCTTCAGTAAAGTTTGATGGCTCTTGAATACTCATCTCTTCAGCTGTCGTGAGAGCATACGCCACTAATTCAGCATGTGCATATCTTTGAGGAGGTTTGATCTGTCTCCTCTCTCTGCCAGTGGCTATGGAATAAGGTTCTCCAGTCTCAGCATCATCAGCATCTTAGCCTGAATCATGTTGCTCTTCTACAGCTGTAGGAGCAAATTTTATAGACGACTTTTGAGACGTCTCTCCCTCGAGCTCCACCTGAAGCTCCACCTTATCCATGGTCTTCTCTACATTTCCTTTAGACTCAACAGAAACATTCCCATGATCAAGCATATATCTTTCATTAAAAGTAACATCTCTACTAATAATGAATTTAGGAGAATCAGGTTCAAGACTCTACAAACGATAGCCTTTAACGCCTTCAGCATAACCAATAAATATGCATTTCTTAGCTCTAGGCTCAAGCTTACCCTCTCTAACATGATAGTAAGCGGGACATCCAAATACCTTTAAATTTGAATAGTCATTTGGTTTACCTGACCATACCTCGTTTGGAGTCTTGTGTTCAATGGCGGTAGAAGGAGACCGGTTCACCAAGTAACAAGCTGTGTTAACAGCTTCAGCCCAGAAGTCTTTATCCAAGCCAGAGTTTGAGAGCATACACCTGGCTCTCTCCATCAACGTTCTATTCATGCGTTCTGCCACCCCGTTTTGCTAAGGAGTGTGCCTGACCGTGCGATGTCGTACGATCCCAGAATTTAAGCAGAACTGATTGAACTCACCACTGCAGAACTCTAGACCATTATCTGTTCGGAGACGTTTAATCTTCTTTCCAGTTTGATTCTCAACAAGCACTTTCCACTTCTTAAAAGTTTCGAACACCTCGCTTTTACGCCCGAGAAAGTAAACCCAAACTTTCCTGGAAAAATCATCAGTAAACGTCAGAAAATAAAGAGCACCACCTTTGGATGGAACCTGAGCAGGTCCCCACAAATCTGAATGGATGTAGTCGAGAGTGCCCTTCGTCGTATGTGAGCCAGTCGAGAAGTTGACCCGAGTTTGCTTCCCAAACACACAATGCTCATAGAAATCAAGTGATGATGTATGGTCACCACAGAGCAAGCCACGTTTACTCAAAATAGTCATCCCCTTCTCACTCATGTGGCCTAAGCGCATGTGCCACAACTGAGTAGTGTCCCTATCAGCATCAGAGGACACACTTGCAGAGCCTGTCACCGTACTGTCTTGGAGAACATAAAGACTGTCCACCTTACTACCTTTCATCACAACCAATGAACCCTTAGTAACTCTAAGAGCTCCACCTTCGCCAGTGTAAGAACACCCAATAGAATCCAAAGAACTCAGAGAAATCAAATTTTTCTTTAAGTCCAGGATGTGTCTCACATCTGATAAAGTTCTCACTATCCCATCATGACACCGAATGCGAACTGTACCAATGCTAACTGTCTTGCAAACTGCATTGTTGCCCATCAAAACTGATCCACCACTTATAGATCTGTAAGTAGTGAACCAATCTTTATTTGGACACATATGAAAAGACGCACCTATATCTAAGATCCATTCTCTATCGGAACGGCCATCCAAGGGACATACTGTAAGAACCGTCTCAGCAACAACGGCAAGATCCATTCTCTATCGGAACGGCCATCCAAGGGACATACTGTAAGAACCGTCTCAGCAACAACGGCAGCATCAGCCTTTGTCGTATTAGCTGGATCTGAGGTTTCACCATGCTGGTTGTCTTTCCTCTTTAGAGCATAGCATTCTGACTTGTAATGCCCCTTTTTGTGACAGTAGAAACACTCCACATTTTTCTTGTTTGGGGCTGACCTGGACTTTGAGTGATTTCTGGATTGCCCTTTATCACCCTCTCTGGCCTTCGATCTACCTCTGGCTAGCAGACCATCAGCCTGCCCATCGGTACCTCTCCCATTCAACTTTGTTCTCAACTCAGCAGAGTTCAAAGAGGCCTTCACATCCTCAAGACTTATGGATTCTCTTCCATACAACATAGAGTTAACAAAGTTTTCATAAGAGTTAGGCAATGAACATAACACAATGAGAGCCTGGTCTTCATCATCAAGTTTAAGATCCAGGTTTTTCATATCCATGACAATTTTATTAAATTCATCAAGGTGTTCCTGAATGGGTGTACCTTCCTTCATCTTCAGTGTGTATAGCCGTTGCTTCAGGTATAATCTCGTAGTAAGAGATTTCTTCAAGTAGAGACTTTCGAGCTTTGACCACAACCCCGCTGCCGTTTCCTCATCGGCAACTTCACGAAGCACATTGTCGGATAGTGACAATTGCAAGGCGCTGTGAGCCTTTTCGTCCATCTCTTCGATCTCGGCACTAGTCATATCTTCTGGGTATTTCCCGTCGATAGCTTTAACCGTGCCTTCACGTCGTAACAAAGCCTTCATCTTTATCCTCCATAGGCCAAAATTGTTCTGGCCATCAAAGATCGACACCGAGAACTTTACGGAAGCCATTGTAGAGGATTGAAAGCTGTCCTAGAACCGAGAAGCTCTGATACCAGTTTGTTAGGATAATTTAAACACAGAACCAGAGAATAGAGAGACAATCACAAACACAATATTTACGTGGTTCGATCAAATTGATCTACGTCCACGGCAAGAGGGTGTATCACTATATTTCTTTCTCAACATACAACACTCATACAAAATATTGAGAGATCACAGATTTCGTTGTGTGGCTTTCTCTCTCTTTTTCTCTCAATCACTCTCTGCTGGATTTCTTAAGCTCTGATACTAAATCTCAAGAAGACTCAGAAGCTCATATTTTTTCTATATCTCTCGTATGCTTTATATAGAAAAAAACATACACCATTTGTCAACAAAATCATGCTTGATTTTGTCAACAAAATCAAGCTTCAGCCACCCCTCTCTATGTCAATACGGCCACCGAAAGCAAGTCACCTTTCGGTGCTTGATATAGTTGACTGACCAACAACGTTAATAAGAGATCACTTGAACTGTAATTGGCTGTTAGCGTTGACGTTAGAAAAACTTGTTGATTTTATGACTTGATAGAAAACAAAATTTGCTCTCAATTTTAGGTCAAAAGATAACTTGGGCAATTTCAGTTAACTGAAACAGGATTTACTGAGTTAGCATTAGCACCATGCAATGACAAAATTGATGTCAACCATGTCTTCTAATCGTCTAGCATATTGCATTATTTGTGTATGAAATGTATATCTACTTTTGAATTAGGAAACTGCTTCCGAAAATTATTAATTAGTGGTTGATATTTTTTGATACATCATTAATACAATGTACCAAGGTCAATGAATATTTTCATTTTTGATACATTCATCCAATTAATCTATTTTGAATCGAATAGAAAATTAAAATTATTTATTATAATAACTTATAGTAAATAAATTCATGGGCGGTTGGAATGGAACTTAGATTACTTTGATACCATGTTACTCCTTCCACCGCAACAACGACGGCGATTATAAATTCATAATTTCTTTAAAATGCCAACAAGTAACGAGTTTTTGAATGGAAGTACTTTCCACTAGATTCCATTGCATAAGCAAAAGCAGAAAACTTCACCTCTTTCTTATTATATCAAGGACATAACAAATAATTAACTCAAATACAACAAACATCACACACTGATGCAATTCAAATATTCTATGTGTAAGTTCATGCTGGTGTTTGAAGACATGAAATTTGCGGATATATGAATCCCCTGGTGAAGCCGTGGGCATTGATGCAAGAGGCTTTTGTGCTAACCCCGTTGTTTGGTGAGAAAATATTCAAAGTATCAAACTCCATCAACGTGCACGGTACACTCTGGCTACAGTTAAGACTTACTGCAACTGGGGTGCTTGAACTTCCATACAAATTTGCATATGTTACGTTGCTGATTTGAACTGCATTTATATTCTACATGAAATGCAAGTAGATTAGAAATTGAGAAGTGTATATATTTCTATGCAAAGATATACTGATACCTCAAAAAAATTTCAGAAGAGTTAGTAAGGGAGTTTCTGTAAAGATTTCATTTTTATTGTATTCTGTTACTCTCTTTTGAATTTTCTAAAGTTTTAAATACCGCTTTAAAAATACCCTTACATTTTGACAGATTACATAATTGTGAACATTATTTTCCATATGAAATATTGTATATAAAAACACTCTGACAGTTATCAAGGATCTAATTTAAACAAAGGCAAACCGAACAAAGAGGAATGAACTAAAGAGGATTCAATATCGAGCTCAAAATTTTTGAATAAACATTTTCATTTAGTTTTTCTGTTTTGAATGTTCCCAAAGAAAAGAAAAACAGTTCTTGACTGAACATAGAGTTATACTAAAGATAAAGGGTAAATTTTCAGAACCTCCCTTAAGTTCAGGCTTTTCTCAGATAACTTCCATTAACATTCAAAATGTCGCAAAATCCTCCTTTAGTTTTGGGGTTCACAAACCCCTTCATTTTTTTTTGAGGAAATCCCTCTAACAGAGTTAACAGCAATTTTCACATGGGTGAGTAAAGTGACAAACAGAGGATGCTTTAGCCAGTGAAAGTTGTGGTTGATGCATTTAAGGGGTTCTTTGAAAAACATTTAAATCTGTAAGGGGTTATCTAAGACCCAAAAACTCAGAGGGTGGGGTGTTATAACATTTTGCAAATTAACGGGGGTTATCTGATAAACACCCGAACTTAAGGGGGTTTTGAAATCTACCGTTAAATAAAAGTGTCCTTATTTTGCAAGTTCATGAATCTTTTGCAAAAGTTCTTCAACGTTAAATAAAAGTGTCCTTATTTTGCAAGTTCATGAATCTTTTGCAAAAGTTCTTCAATAAAATGTAAAGTGTATAGTTATCATTACGGTACTAATATTTCATGAATCTTTTGCAAAAGTTCTTCAATAAAATGTAAAGTGTATAGTTATCATTACGGTACTAATATCAAATAAATACATCGCCTTTCTGAGAGAGACTGTTTTATCTTCAACAGTCCAAAAATGAAGGGGAAAATATGACATCTGATGAGCAGAATAGACTATAGGCAAAGCCATATGTACCTGAGGTGGGCAATTGCCAGGGGCATCACAATAATACTGGTCAATGATTACAGGATTATCAACTTTGGTGAAGTTGCAATGCTCAAACCTGATTCCTCTTACAAACCCTTTTCCTCCCTATAAAATAGTTTAATTTTAAATTAATCATGGCTCAAACCTGATTCCTCTTACAAACCCTTTTCCTCCCTATAAAATAGTTTAATTTTAAATTAATCATGGATTCAAAATATAGATGTACATCACTTAACATTGAAGCATTTTCAAATGGAAAGAATACAAAATTTACTTACCTGCCATGTCTTGATTCTTACTCCATTTGTTGTCCCATAAAAGTTTGAATACCTAACGGTTATACCTTCAACTGAAGCTGCACTGCCATACCTTCCTAAGCTTCCAATGCTATCAACCAATTAAATTATCAATCATCATTACCACATTACACTAAATAAAAGCAACAACAATGTTTATTTATCAAAATAGACCATGAACCTAATGCCATGTCCTGGTCCACAGACAATCTGGTCTATATGAACATCGTTAACAAGATCTCCAATAGATATGCAATCATCACCTGTATTTCAATAAAAGTAATCGTATATTCAATATTGTTAGAGTACAAAATTTTAATCCTCAAACCTCAAAGCAACTTTAGATTCTTGTGCAGCGGCACAGACTTTAGAATGCTATAAAAGCAAACAAAATCAATTTTTGTACTAGCCACAAATTTCTAAAGTGGATTTGAAATATAAAAATAGAAACATGCTCTATAGTCCCAAGTTTTCAAGCTACCAAAAGGATCTTCACCATGCGAGAGCATGTTTACAATATATATATATATATATATATAATATATATATATATATATATCTATATATATATATAGTATATAATATATTATATATATATATATATATATATATATGAGAAATATGGGTATGCTTCGCGTACCAAGCCACAAAAATTGTGTTGATAGTGAGGTGTCAATCCGCCGTCCAGCTCATATCAAATGTTGAGAACAAATTCACATGGGTAGAGTGAGTGATAAGGATGTGAAACATCACTACGAAGCACAAAATTTATGCTTCCGGTAACCAAGCATACCCATTATTTCTCTCGGTCTCTCTCTCATCTCTCTATAATATATATATATATAAGTATATATATATATATATATATATATATAGTAAGTTTCGCCTATAGATTTTTTACCTGTTTGCATGGTTGAATTTTGGATATATATGTGTTGTGAATTTTGAACATGGATACCATCAGTGTTGGGGCTAAGTTCAGGAGCAACCATCTTGAGGTTTGAAAGAGTCGCTCGTTGACAGTTAAAGAGGAGCATATGTACTTGTGGACTGTCAACAGACTGCAGATCCCTCACCCAGAGGTCATTGCAATCTTCAAATGTTATTGCCTGGAAAATCAAACAAATTGTAGTTTGAGCTACTGTATGTAAATGATATCTGAGCCTTTAGTCAATTTTAGATTAAGTAAATTGCGTCATCACCCCATCAACAGTAATCATTATATTTGATAAATTAAGGATCACATACCATAGTAACAGTTTGCATCGTTACGTGCACATTTAGATATTGTTGGTTCTTGGCAGCAATACAAGTATAAACAAAAAATATCTCGCGGATGCTGAAATATATATCAGTATTTACAATAAACGTATCAAACATGATCTCTCATCTGAAAGACTCATGTTTGGTTTACAAAATTGGATAAACTTTTTTCTTCTGTAATAAGTACACGCATTAAGACATTTTACTAGGGGGGGAAATTTTTTTAGCAGTATTGTGTACAGCTTGTCAATCTCCTTAAAAACCAGCTCCTTACATGAACAAACATATAATTATGGACAAAAAAATTAGACTCAAATTTTGAGCAATTTTAATTGTACTTAAATAAAAGGAATACTCACAGTTGGTGCAATATGAGTGCATCCCTGCCAAAAGAAAAGAGTTTCATTAGAAAGTGTTTATGTTTGACGTATTAAAATGTATAGTCTACTTTCAAGCAAGAGAAGCATAATTATCATTCTTTAGTTTACACTAAGGTGTAATACAAAATCAAATTACTATATTACTTACATTAGCTGATTCTTTGACATGACTGGTTACTATTAATATTTTTATATACTAATTCGAAAGGAATTTTGGTTAGAAGAATTAAATTAATTATCAGTTTTGCATTACTAAATCCAAATACCGATTCATGGACATGGGTTTGACAAATAAAACCGAAATAAGTAATAGAAAAGGTTCGCTTTATGTTATAAACTATCTTATGAATTTGGACACCAGATATCTGACATTATGAAACAACGTATTCAGATGAAACATTTGTGTATCATACCGGTTTTGGGTTATCTCTGCATGATTGTTTCCACCAATTTTGCCCTCGACCATTTATTATACCTCCACCAAAGACATTCAGTGTACCAACATGCTGAAACTGCAACCAGCGAGATGGATCGATTCCTTTCCACCACCTGGGATCGTTTGGTGCTATCAGTGTGCCTTCCATCTAATAAGAAAAATGAGAGACAAAAACATTGAGTAAGTCATCATAATTGAAAAATATGGTAACAAGAAAGAAAAGGCCCACTTTAATTTGAGAAATTTCCCGTTAATCATTTTGAAACATTTCACTAAAACCCCTCCTGAAGTTTCATGACCATACTAACCCCTGAACTACTGGAAATCTCACAAGTGTTGACGGGTAGAGTAATAAGTTTGAAATATGTCTAAGCAAAGTTTATGATGAATATTTGAATGAAGAGCATTTATATGGGAGGAAAATACACGTCAATCATGTCGTATTACTCTGTCCATTACCCCATTTCTCTTATTTATAAAGTCTAGAAGTTCTTGTATAAAATTTACAGAATTTTTGGGGCTGCTCTAAAATTTACCCTTTTAATTAAGATTTACCCTTTTATGAAATATATAGGTATTTGTTTCTTGTGTCACCTGAAATAAAACTTTCTGGAATCTACAAGGACCCTTGAATGTTATGGGCGACACAAGAAAAGTCCTGCCCTTAGGCACATACATTGTTGGTGGTCCTGTAGTCGCCAAGCATGTGGCCGCCCATGCTTTTGAAAAAGCCTACAATATATTGAACGTAAATCAGTGGTCATAGCGTTTATGAATTAATCATAATATTTACAGAAGGGTAGATAGTACATATACGTCTGCAATAATACCTGTGTGTCATCTGCAAAACCATCTCCCTTCGCTCCGAAGTTTAGGACATTGAATACAGGCGGAGGGCCTGCACCAGCTATGCCAACTTCTAACGAAGTGGCTAGGCCAAATATTAGCATAACGTGAAAGATATCCTATAAAAAGATAGTTAAAAATATTTCAGTCATCAAGCTTTAATGTAAGTACTAAATCTAACACGAAAGAAAACAATGGACTAATTAGCTTCTCACCATGCTTACTAGCAAACAAGAATTTTCTCAAAAGAAACTTGCGAGTTGCGAACGAGGAGGAAATCTGCTCTATTTATAAGACAGTTTAATTTCTTTGTTGGAAAGGTGGAAAGGTTCGGCTAACAACGGCATATAGCTAGAATATACGAACTATACATCACATTTGCGGAAGGAATTAAATCTCAGTTCATGCATATTACGGAATTGTGCATTTCTTGAAGGATATAAATGAATGAAAATATTTTGTCAGCATATTTTGCCGAAATCTTCATTCCTGAATCAATCAGAATCAAGCCATTATACAAGGTACAATTGTCAATGTGTGAGCGTATTAATTTAATTTGTCAGCTTAAATAGCAAGGAAGCACTGAACATTATACGCATTGCCAGGTAAATTAAACCGGTAAACTACACTAAATTCCCCACGAACTTTCAGCGCTTTGCAGTAACCCTCAATATATAACTTCTAAAATCGCGCTAATCCATCAGTAACTATGGGAATTGTAGAAAACCACAATTACTTATTATATTTTACAAATAACCCCCATGACGGCGTTTAGTCCACATTATGGGAGCTAAATATGTCACCAAAGTAAAATGTCAACTAAACACTGTCACGGGGGGTTATTTGCAAAATGTAAAAACCTGTTGTGGTTTTTTACAGTATAGTTATTGGGGGTTTACAGCGATTTTAGAAGTTATTGGGGCTTCACTTGCTTATAACCATCAGGGTGGTGTTAAGTTTATATATATAATCAGTTATTTCAATAATACCGGTTCAATAAGGGAGGTCTGTAGGATGTATCATATATCTCTTCACTATAAAAAAAAACTTCTAGTTTAATTCAGCAAGTTTGGTGGATACCTTTTTTAGCACTCTATATAATCTCATGTTTGAATTGAACCGATGGATTTATGTTTTATATATTGCACATCAATCAATCTTATTCTTATTGCTTTGAGCAATTCTCTTTATCTGAATAGGATATCTTGTTGGATTATCATGTTAAAAATATTGGAAAACAAAAATCAAAGGTGAAGATCAAATATATTACACTTTAATCAACCTTATTCTTATTGCTTTGAGCTTCTCTTCATCTGAATAGGATACCTTGTTGCATTATCATGTTAAAAATATTGGAAAACAAATATCAAAGGTGAAGATCAAATTTTTCAACAATTGGATTTCTTTGCTCCTTTTATATGGCTTTTAATTAATTAACTGTTGTTTTTGCTATTCTAAGTGTTAAGAAGTAAATATCGAGTAAATTAAGAAAGGTGCATGTATCATGAACCACAAAATTTCTTGAATCGAAGAACATTCTGAGAGCAAGTTAACAATTCAACCACCTTATAATCTTCATACCATGCAACTTTCCTATAGGATACCATAGCTGCACATGGCATGATCAAGTCTTACTGCACGTCGCATGATCAAGACTTAAGGGAGGATTTTGATTCTGAGATGACGAACTAGTACCTCATAGCAGTATGCTGCCGGGGTGCATTCAGTTTGGATGCAACTCGGATATGATAAAACAATATCTATATTTGCTTTCCCATCACGGATACGAATATGGATAAGGATACAGATGCAGATATTATATCCCAATAAAAAAAATCTTATTTCCATATCTGCTAAAATTGGACACGGATACAGATATATAAGCGTATGTGCATGCGGATACAAAACTGATATGAGAAAACTAGATAATATTACAAAAATATAGATCATGTGATACAAAAGGGTTAATTATTATGTTCATTATACATGAAGAACTAAGATTAGACATCTTGCATCAAAATTATCCTCAAATCCATAATCTAAGGATTTAAGAAAAACTATAGTTACAGTATGACTAATATGTATTCGTACATTTTAGGTGTGGATTCAGATATTTCATTGCAAAACTATATTTGTAACTATATTCTATCAGTTATAGATTTGACTAACCATACTCATATCAAAACGGATACGGTTACCGATATTTCATTGGATACAGATAGTGTTTAGCACCCCTACTATGTTGGGTATGATGTCTAAGAAGAGAATATTAGTATAAAATCCGAAAATAAAAGGTTAGAAAATCAGGCCTGAATGGGAGCAGTCGTGATTTCACTTCCCTAGAAGATTAAGGACCCGCCTATCGTCCTGTCGCAGTCGATCCTCTCTCTCCTAGCATTAAAATTTCCTGGTTCGGCCTGCCTCCATACTCGGGCGAGAGTAGCATAGCTTAAGTTCAGATGAAGAACGTTGCCCAAAGAGAAAAGTAAAACTTTGCAAATATATTAATAGAGAAATAGGGGATAGAAGAGTTGATGCGTATCTTCCGAGGAGGAGAACCCCTGTATATATAGGAGCTGGACGCCAAAGAGCCGTTGCTCCAAATCCGCACACATTACATAGGATCCGTGTAACTCCCCGTGTCATCTCCGCATCCATTACGAACGAGTTAAAACGTGTAAAATGTGCAAAATTAAAATCTAGAAAAGTAAAAGGAATGTGTGCGCGTGCGGTACAGCATGGTACGCGGCGCGGCGAGGCGAGGCATGACGTTCGTGCGCGTGCGTGCGTGTATGTTATGCAAAGCCCAACTAACCCAAAACACTATTCAAAGCCTAATAAGCGGTGAACCAATATAAACCCCTTACTAATCATCTCATTTTCCAATGTGGGACTGTTCACAAAGGAAAAATTGTCTTTTCATGAACAACATAGCCAACAAATTCCCCCCCCCCCCCCAAAAAAAAAGGTAATATTGATTAAAAACTCAAAAAATAAATAAATAAATCAACAAATCATAAAACAAATATAGTTTTGGTAACCTTTCGTATCGTGAATTCTGGAGAGGTAGCTTTCGGCTTTGAACCTTTCCTTAGTGAGTTCATCGCCACCAGAGGGATATAGTGGACTAGGCCTTGATTTAGGCCCCTTGAACCAGATATTGACAAAAACACACACAATACATCTTTATCTATTTAACAAAGCGGGTTGAGCGTTAAAGACCATGCTCACAATAAACAGACTCATGAGAGTTTTGGTGTGGTAAGAAAGTAAATCTCTCACACTTGCGAGTATTTTACTGTGTGGCATATGTTCATATCAGTGACCATGTCAGGGACAAGCTAGAAGAAAAGTCACAAAAATGTACATTCATTGGATACGGTATTGATGAGTTCGGGTATCGTCTGAGGGATGAGAAGAACAGGAAAATCATCAGGATTAGAGACATCATATTCAATGAGGAGGTGATGTACAAGGATAGGGAAAATGACAGGGATAGCCAAAGCAATGGGAGCAACGCAAAGGATGCAAGTGGATCCGAGTACATGGATTTGGAGGAACTTTCAGATGGGAGAGACAATGTCAATTCTGACTGAAAAACGGAGATGATTCCAAATGCAGAGATGACTACACGGGGCATGGAGCTTTAGAGGTTATCCAGGGTACCCAAACAAAATCTCTGATATCTTTCATCACTTGATTATTTTCTTTTAACAGATAGCGGAGAACCAAAGTGCTATGAGGAGGCTATTCAAGTTAGTGAATCTCACCAGTTGAAGCATTCAATGCAAGAAAAGATTGATTCTCTACACTCGAACGAGACATGAGAGTTGGCCCAACTACCTACACAGAAGAAAGCTTTACATAACAAGTGGGCCTACCGAGTCAAGTAGGAGAGTGATGGCAGCAAAAGATATAATGCCAGATTAGTTATGAAAAGATTCCAATAGCGAGAAGGAGTGGATTATACGAAGATATTTTTTCCCGTCGTTAAGCTTATAACCATCAGGGTGGTGTTAAGTTTATATATATAATCAGTTATTTCAATAATACCGGTTCAATAAGGGAGGTCTGTAGGATGTATCATATATCTCTTCACTGCAAGAAAACTTCTAGTTTAATTCAGCAAATTGTACCAGGACCTAACAACAATAACAATAATAACAACCAAGCCTTTATCCCAAATATTTAGGATCGCTACATGAATCTTATTTTTCCATTCCATTCTGTTATGTGTCATCTCCTCCGTTAAGTTAGTCGTAATCATATCCTTATTGCCTCTAACCTACCTCTAAATTTCCTAGCCTCATTAACTCTAATATTATCGTTTTTCTAATCGGTGCACTAAGGAATCTCCATTGTACCAGGACCTAGCTACTTAAATTCATAAAATCTTCTAGTGTTTGTAGACAAACATGATCTCCTGCAAGCAGCATGATCACTAACATTCATGGATCTTTCCATAATTTTGGACTAGCACGATTCTACAGTACACAAATCAGGTATTGTCCTCAACTCAACATCATGGGATATACCCTGGACTTTCCTACTTGAGCCGCAATATTGGTTCAATATTATTTACTGTAGATTTTTCAGACCTTTAGGAGCTTTTTTGAAGTAAAAATAGGGCAAGGTACCTTATTCAAACTTATAAACCTCCCTAAGTAGTGTGCAATAGTTATTCCAAAATGAAAATTAAGAAGTGTAGTAAGATGCAGAAAGAAGAGCAGACCTTTTTCAGCACTCTATATAATCTTATTTTTGAATTGAACCGATGGATTTATGTTCTATATATTGCACTTCAATCAATCTTATTCTTATTACTTTGAGCAATTCTCTTCATGTGAATAGGATATCTTGTTGCATTATCATGTTAAAAATATTGGAAAACAAAAAATCAAACGTGAAGATCAAATATATTGCACTTCAATCAACCTTATTCTTATTGCTTTGAGCTTCTCTTCATCTGAATATGATATCTTGTTGCATTATCATGTTAAAAATATTGGAAAACAAATATCAAAGGTGAAGATCAAATTTTTCTACAATTGGATTTATTTGTTCCTTTTATATGGCTTTTAATTAATTAACTGTTCTTTTGCTA